GAGCTCTCAGGTACTTCTCCAGCAACATATCTGTCTGTGCACTGCCATGCTCCCCATCATGATGGTAATGGGCTAAACCTCTGAACCTGTAAGCCAGCCCCAATGAAATGTTTTCCTTTATAAGAGTCGCTGCGGTCATGGCGTCTCTTCACAGCAATAGAAACCCTCACTAAGACACTGGGTAACTGGTCTCAGGAAGACTACAGATACACAGGAAAGCCTTCATTTCTTGTTTCTTAACTCCTGCAGCCTGTTGTTTGTGGCTATTTTCTCCAAATTCAAGTGTTTGTTAAGGTTCTAGCAGTGACAACATTTAGAAGCCCCAGGAACCTCCTGAGATAAGATTTGTAAGGCCTCTCCCCAAGGTGATACAAGCAGTAGGAGACTCCTGACTGGCCAATCAAAGCTGCCTGCACGTTGCACAGGGAACCCCAGGGGAAAGCAGCTCTTGTGAGTCATCGTCTGCTGGGGACATTCCTTGGGTGCTGTAGCTGGAGTCATCTATGCTTCTGAAAGTGACCCTGCGCCCGTACTCTGTAAGTAAGCCCAATAAACACACTGGCTCACCCAACTGGACTCTGGTGAAATTATTACAGCGATCCCTCACTGGTGCCTGTTCTGGAGTGAATACATCTGTTCAACATCTCTCCCAAGGAAAAAGTCGCACAACACTCAGAAAAGACTAATGATTTCCTGGAAATAATGAGAGGTACCTTTTGCCTTTCATTACACCCCCAGCATCCTTATCCCTGACTTGTGGAAGGGGTCAGAAGGTGCGGTATATCTGAAAACTGAGCTGGGCAGAAATGATGGATGGTGAGTGCGAGCCAGCCTATCCCTCTTTCTCCACATTCTTCCCTCTCATCGGACATTTGTTCCTTAGGCTGTAAGGTCTGCAGACTCATTGGGGGTAAGGTTTTCTTCCATGTAAATGTCATAGTAAGCAGTCTAGCATGTGGTGTGGTGCAGGAAGTGCTGGGAAGCAGGCCCTCTTTCTAATCTGGCTTTATGTGAGCTGGTATTTTGATTCCTATTTTATACCTCTACCAGAGATGCTCAGCCAGCTTCTCACCTCGTTTCTCAACAAATTTTAGAAAGTTTTTTTTTTTTTTTGGCACGCGTTAATTATACATAAAACGAAGTTTCACTGTGACATTTTCATACATGTCTAATGTACTTTGATCTCTGCCCTTTTTCGCTCTCCTCAATCCCCTTTTAACAAGTTTTAAAATACGTTCAGAACCTACAGGCACAAAATATACAAAATGATCCAGAACTGGGGAGATGGCTCCGTGGATCAAGGCTCTGCCTGTTACGAAGTCCAAAGACTTGAGTTTTTTATGATTTTTTTTTTTTTTTTTTGGTTTTCGAGACAGGGTTTCTCTGTGTAGCTTTGAGCCTTTCCTGGATCTCCCTCTGTAGACCAGGCTGGCCTAGAACTCACAAAGAACCGTCTGGCTCTGCCTCCCAAGTGCTGGGATTAAAGGTGTGCGCTGCCGCTGCCGCCACCACCACCACCACCCCCCGGCCTGAGTTTTGTCTGAAGGACTGACATGGTGGAAGGAAAGAACCCATGGCCGAAGTTTTCCTCTGGCCTCCATACACACGTCATGGTTTGTGTGCACACGTGCTCAATTTCACACACACACACACACACACACACACACACACACACCCTCACATGCATACACCAAATAAATAAAAATGTAACAAGAAAGAATACAGGGGGTGGAGAGATGGCTGAGTGGTTAAGAGCACAGGCTGCTGTTGCCGAGGACCAGGGTTCTGTTACCAGAACCTACTTGGTGGCCAAGTCCAAGCTGTCCTCAGTGTTGGTTTCTGGTGAGGCCTCTTCTGGCTGGTGGACTGCTTCAGACAGGAAAGCATATACCTATGCTCATGGTGATGGGAACAGAACAACAGAAGCTTAAATATGGGATATGTGACTCTATCAGTGATGGTGGCGGTTGTGATGGTAAATCTGGCAGTGCCCTAATGGCGAAGAAAACTACAGTCTTGAGCCAGGCCCTAACCTGAGGCACCTGAGAAGTGAAAGAGGAATATGGATTAAGAATAGGCAAACAGCCAGGTGGTTTTGGCGTACGCCTTTAATCCCAGCACTTGGAAGGCAGAGGCAGGTGGATCTCTGTGAGTTCGAGGCCAGCCTGGGCTACCAAGTGAGTTCCAGGAAAGGCACAAAGCTACACAGAGAAACCCTGTCTCAAAAAACCAAAAAAAAAAAAAAAAAAAAAAAAAAAAAAAAAAAAAAAAAAAAAAAAAAGAAAAGAAAAGAAAAAGAAAAAAAAGAAAGAAAGGCAAACATCGCAGAAAGAAATTCTCCGGGCCTCTAAGGGTTAAGATGAACGAGACTCGGAGGTCGGGACAAAGTGGGTTCTGAGTAGGGTACTGAGTAGGGTGTCTGTGGAAACTTCCCGTCATGTCTTCCCAGTCTGGGGGTCTAGGACCCTAGGTTGTTGGGGCTAAAGGGTCGGACTTCCTTCCCCAAGACAGCTGGGACAACTTGGGGTGCAGGGAACCATTATGCAGCGACCTCAACAGTGAGCACCTTCCAGGGAAAAGGTGGGGGGCGCTCTGCAGAGGGGACAGGGCTCTGCAGGGCGCTGGCTGGCGCAGCACCTCCCGGACTGGCCAGACCGGTTCCCTGGGCGGAACCCAGCCGCTTCCCCCAGCCTTCCTGAGCACTACCGCCCAGATGCCCGAAAGCTCTCAGATAAGCACAGCACACCATCTTCACCTGTTCGCCCTGTAACCGTCCAAGCTGCCCATCTCTGTGCAGGGACACCTTAAGGGCCGCCATTCACTGCCGTGCATGGCCTGGATGTGCCTGCCTGTTTGGCCGAGCCCGTGTTCTCGCGACTCCTTTACTAACGAGTTTAATAATATCTTAGGGAAAGTGGTGAAATATGAATCTGTTGCACGGACTTGTTGCTTGTAAATTCTTAAATAGAAATGCGTAACTGAGTAGAGCGGTTTTTGTTTTTTTTTTTTTTTTAAGCAACTGTCCGTTTTCTGTGATGGGTTTGGAAAAAACTGTTTTATGTGTATGAGCGTTTTGTCTGCATGTATGATATGTGCACCATGTGCGTGCATGACTGGTGCCCACGGAGGCCAGAAGAGGGCGTGGGATCCCCTGGAACTGGAGTTACAATGGCTGCATGCCACTATGTGGGTGGGTGCTGGGAATCAAATCCGAGTCCCCTGGAAGGGCAGCCAGTGCTCTTAACTGCTGAGCAGTCTCTCCAAGTCCTCTTTTCATTTGCATCCAGGTGGTTTTTGTTTTGTTTTGTTTTGTTTTTGTTGTTCTTGTCCAACTCTGGGGATGTAATTTCAACCTCTTTCACCTTTATAACAAACCAGTTCTTAATTGCTCTGTGGTCTTGTTGGCTCACTGGGTCTTAAGGTTTGGAAATGCATTTAAAAGAAAGGAGCTGATGAAGGTACTCTTTGAGGCTCATTTGTGCTTGGGAATCAATGTCCAGCTCTGCTTCCTGCTTTAGTTCCGCTGGAATACGTGGTGTGAAAGGCAGTGTCCCATCAGCTTGGGACTCGGGCCTGCTCTACCACGTTCTGGTTGTGTGACCTTGGGAAAGTTTTAATACCTTGGACACACCTGGAAAACCACTCATGAGATGGTGTAGATAAAAATCTAAAATGGTCCATTCACCTTAGGCTGATAAGAGAATAAGAAACAGTGATTTATTTTATTGCTCGGTGTGTACAAACAGCAGTAGGGGAAGAGTTAAAACATTGTCTATGAATGCCTTTGTCTATCCTTTCGGGCTTCTATTTCCTCCCAAATCATGCTTGCTGTTCGTTATATACTGAAATGGATGCTGTGTCCATGAGACACTAGCTGATCACATTTCCTAATCCTTTAAATAGAGTAGGGATTGTTGTTAGCCCCAGAAGATAGCTTGGCTGACAAGTATATTGGAGAATCTAGGAGCAGAAAGGTGGAGGGAGGAATGGCCTCTTTTGTATTTAGGATTAGTGGGTGTAATTACTCTAGCCCTGTTTCCAACTGGTTTCTTGCTGTGCGTTATATAAGTGTTCTTTTTGAAATGGACTCCAAAGGCTGCTTGGTTTTGGTCAACAACCAACGTATCGTTTTGACAGTAAACAAGGTCCTTTTTTTTCCTTGCTTCTTGCACCTGCATATGGACTCCTGATGTCCTTATGTTTTATTACTCATGCTCTTGCCGAAAAGCACATTGTCCTCTTCAATTAAAAGGGTTTCTAAGCCACAAGTGGACTTTATTAGTATTCATTCTCTCTTTGAAACTTGATCATCAGGCTTTAATGAAAAGATAGTTAAACTAAATAGTAGTTAAGTTAACATTATAAATACTTAAATTTTTTTAAATCATGAACTGGAGAGATGGATTAGCAGTTAAGAGCACTGGCTACTCTTCTAGAGGACCCGGGTTTAGTTCCCAGCACCCACAAAGTGACTTACTACATTGGGGTAAGTCATAAGGGGATCTGATACCCTCTCCTGGCCTCCATGGCACTTCACAGACATACAGGTAGACAAAATGCCCACACATAAAATAGAAATCTTTTTTTTTCATTTTTCTTTATTAAGAAATTTTCTACTCACTCCACATACTATCCACAACCCCCCCTTCCCTCCTCCCACCCCAGCCCTCTTTCCCAAGCCACCCCGCAACCCCACATCCCCCAAATCGAGGTCTCCCAAGGGGATTCAGTGGAGCCCAGCACACTGAGCCTAGGCAGGTCCAAGCCCTTTCCCACTGCACCAAGACTATGCAAGGTGTCACATCACAGGCACCGGATTCCAGAAGCCTGCCCATAGACCAGGGACAGATCCCGATCCCCCTGCCTTGGTGCCCCCCAAACAGTTTGAGCCAAACAACCGTAAAGACAAATCTTTAAAAAAAATTTAATTGTAAGAGGAATAAGAGACTAACTCTTAATTTTGAACACTAGTATCTAGGATAAGACTTCCTGAAAGGACTTCTAAAAGCCATGCTTCTCATTTTCATTATTTTGTTGTGATGGTTGGGAAGGGAGGTAGAAAATATACTTAACAAGCACCTCTAACTCTGACTGTTATTTTCCCCCCTCAGGGCTGCCCATCCTTAGCCTGGTGTGGTCATGGTGATGAAGCAGGGAACCCAGCTGTTGGTTTTGGATTCGAATTTCACCAAGTGGGAGAGTTTAAAAAGTTATGTTTACAAGTGAGGGGTCAAGATGATCTGACGCCTTAGGAAACTTGTTACAAAATGTGCTAGACACTGTGTGGAAAGGTCGGTGTTCAACCCGGCAAACTTTATTTGAATGTGTGCTGTGTTACTTACAAGTCAGTCACGCAGCCTCAGTTTTCTCCTTTTAAAAATGATAATAAATACCTACCTGGTACATGTTTAGGATTCGTTACATACATACAAAGCTACTGCTCTTGATAGTGCCCATTCTTATTCTATGTTTGCACATGTTTTAACTGATCCATTGTCTTGTTTTCATTCCATACACCATTCTACTTAGGTTCCCTTTCCCCTTTTAAACCTCCAATAAAGCTTAGTACATTTGTTTTTAGGTTGATATTACCCTTGGGATTTGCACATACTAGTTCAGAAACTTAGTTTGTGTAGTGGGTAAGAACAAATTCACGGGCTACTAGTGAACACACAGAATATTTCCATAAGGGCCTGAGAGATGGCGTAGTGCTTAAAAGCATCTTGTAGATTACAACTAACTTGTTTTTTTTAAGATTTTTTTAAATGATTTATTCATTTTTATTTCATGTACATTGGTTTGCCTGTATGAGGGTATTGGATCCCTTGGAGCTAGAGTTACAGACAGTTATGAGCTGCCATGTGGGTGCTGGGAATTGAACCCAGGGCCTCTGGAAGAGCAGCCAGTGCTCTTAACCACAGAGCCATCTCTCCAGCCCCCCCCCTTTTTTTTTTTTTTTTAAAGATTTCTCTTTATTTTTTGTGTGGGTGTTTTGTCTGCCTGTATGTCTGTGCAGTGCCATGGAGGCCAGAAGAGGGTATCAGATGTCCTTGTAGAGGACCTGAGTTAAGTTCCCAGTAACAACATCAGCATCTCACAACTGCCTATAAGTCTGGCTCCAAGGGATCAGGCGACAGTTGCTCTCCACAGGCCCCTGCACTCTTATGCACATGCCCTCATCCTGGTTAGTTTATATGAGTCAATTTGACAGAAGCTAGAGTTACTTGAGAAGAGGGACCATCAGTTGAGAAAATGCCTCCATTTGAATTGGTGTGATTTATGTGGGAGGGCCTAGCCTGTTGTGGGCCGGGATGGTATAAAAAAGCAGGTTAAGCAAGCTATGGAGAGCAAGCCAGTAAATAGCACTCCTCCATGGCTTCTGTCTCAGTTCCTGCCTCCTGGTTCCTTCCTTGAGTTCCTGCCCTGACTTCCTTCAGTAAGTATGAGATGAAATAAACTTTCCTCCCCAAGTTGCTTTTAGTCATGGTGTTTTATCATAGCAACAGAAACCCAAAGCAACACCAGTTTGTGGTGATACACATGTTTAACCCCTGACTTGGGAAGCAGAGGCAGGCAGACCTCTGTGGGATGGAGACCACGAGACCAGCCTGGTCTACAGAGGGAGTTCCAGGAGATCCAGGACTGTCACACAGAGAAACTTTGTCTCCAAAAACCAAAAAAAAAAAAAAAAAAAAAAAAAGAAAGAAAGAAAGAAAGAAAGAAAGAAACCCAAGGTAAGACATCTCCCAGCACACCACACACACACAAACTTTAAAGAGAAAGTTTTTGTATAAAATACTTTAGGAGGTTTTTCATTGTTATTCTCTTATTCTGTCTTGCTTCAGTTCAGAATTTCCTTGTCAGGCAAGATAAGGGACTATGCTTATCTATTAATTTTTTAAAAATTCTTGTAGGAGATGAAGATACAGATAATTTAGGGACTGTTCAAATCGATACACCCAAGCCAGATAAACTTAAAGAGAAAGCTCCACAGTGGTCTAAAAGATGCGGGCTACAGAATTCTAAGAAGGAGAATACAGAAGAAATGCTGACATTATCTCGTGGGGATGAGATTCGGTGTCATGATTCTTATGAGAAAGATGTCAAGTCAGAGAAATGGGAAGATTCTACAGGAAAAGAAGGGAAAACCTTACCAAGGAGGATGGGTTCAGGAGAACATGTCAACACCTCTGTCCATTCATCCTCTGGAGAGAAGCCCTATACATGTTCTAAGTGCTAGAAAAAAAATGTTCAGCAATAATTCTCACCTGTGGGCACACCAAAGAACACACTTGGGAGAAAAACCATATACATGTTTTGAATGTGGGAAATGCTTTTGTAACAGTTCCCACCTGATTCAGCATTTGAGAACACACACAGGGGAGAAGCCCTTCCTGTGTAAGGAGTGTGGGAAAAGCTTCAGCTATACCTTCCCATCTTATTATCCATGAGAACTCACACAGGAGAGACACCTTACAAGTGTCCTGCCTGTGGAAAGGGTTTCAGTACCAGCTCTCACCTAATTCAGATCACAGACCGGTAAGAGGCCATAGGGATGCCCTGTGGTGGAAAAGGCTTCAGTCACAGCTATGTTCTAATAGAACACAGGAGGACTCACATTGGAGAAAAACCCTATAGATGCCTGGTTGTGGGAGGAGCTTCAGTCACAGTTCCAGCCTGATCAATGCACACATGTGAAAAGCCCTATCTGTGTCTTGGGTGTGGAGGAGGCTTTGGTTGTAATTTGACTCTAACAAAGCACCAGAGAATACACACAGGAGAAAAACCCTATCACTGTCCAGAATGTGGAAAGACTTTTAGTCGAGGTTCAAACACCCCAGAAAATGTACACAGAAAAAAAAATCCTCTGGAAATACCGAATGTGAAGAAAGTGTGCATCAGAGCTACAGCGTGATGGAAGAGTGCAGAGTCCAGCTAGGACAGAAACTATGTAAATGCTGTGGCTATGGAAAGAGTTTTAGCCTTAGCTCCCACTTTAGTAGACACCAGAGAACACACAGTGGAGAGAAGCCTTACTGGTGTTCTGAGCGCTGGAAGACTTTCAGTCAGAGCTCTATCCTAGTCTTTCACCAAAGGACATACTTGGGAGAGAAGCCTTAGTGGTGAGTCCTTCAGTCAGAGGTTCATCTGATCAGGCACCAGAGACCCCACAGAGGAGAGAAACCTTACCAATGTGCTGACTGCGAGAGACACTTCAGCAGGAGTGCACACCTGGTCAGCACCGCAAGACCCACATCCAAGTCTTTTCAACCCCTCAGGTCGGGGATTTTCTTCATGAATGGACCCAAGAAGCTGTTCAGGAGAAATGGTCCCGATCCTTCCATTTGCAGCCTCAAATTCTTCTTGAGTCCCAGGGTCTGACGGGGTTTCTTTTTTTTTTTCTTCTCCTTATTAGACCATTAGAATTAAGGTGCTGTGCTCATTGCCCTCTGACGTTTCTTTGTTGTGTTTGCCAAAAGATCTGGAAAAAGTCAACCTTCCAGTTTAACCGATGTGAAGACCCCCATCAACAGGGTATGAGATCATCAGTGAGAGATACCACTAAGGGTGAAGAAAAGGTAGACATTATTATCATAAAAAAAAAATCAAAGCCAGGCAGTGATGGTGTGGGCCCTTAACCCCAACATTCAGGAGGCAGAGGCAGGTGGATCTCTGAATTGGAGGCCAACCTGATCTACAGAGAGAGTTCCAGGACAGCCAGGGCTACATAGAGAAACCTTGTCTCAAAAGAAAGAAAGAAAGAAAGAAAGAAAGAAAGAAAGAAAGAAAGAAAGAAAGAAAGAAAGAAAGAAAGAAAAATAAAAAATTCAAGGTGAGATAGGAGTAGCTTCAAAAGAAAATATAAAGAGTATTCCTATGACTAAGCGAAAAGACATGTGAAAGTTAGAATTGCAATTGAATTACTATATTTTTATCTTAACAAATGGAGATAGTTCATTACTTGCTCTGTGGGCTTACCCAGGGAAAGAGTAATTTTAAGCAAATAATTTCTTGAATGTTTTTGTGTCTAAAAAAGATTCATTTTAAATTTTTGTTTGTTTGTTTGTTTGTTTTTCAAGACAGGGTTTCTCTGTGTAGCCCTGGTTGTCCTGGAACTCACTCTGTAGACCAGGCTGGCCTCATTCTCAGAGATCCACCTGCCTTTGCCTCCCGAGTGCTGGGATTAAAGGCGTGCACCACCACGGCCTGGCTCAAATTCCATTTCTAAATGTGGACATAGTCTTTTCCCTGAGCTAATTCTGTGTTTTACCTTTGGACACAACTCCTCAGCTTCAGGACTGGCAGTTTTATTTTGCCTCTTTGTATGCTTGGCTTATGGATCTGACAACCGAGAATTCATCCTATGTTCTGTGGAAATGATGCTTTTGAAAGCATTTGATACCTCTTATTTTCTCCTACCAGTGCCCAAAGGTGATAGACATTTAGGAAGGCCAAGACTCCTTTAAATTGCCTAGAATTTCAGCTTACTGTTGGATTCAAGATATATTTCATGAAGAACATGGAGAGGTTATGCATTAGGAATGTGGAGCTAGGGCTGGAGAGATGGCTCAGTTGTTAAGAGCACTGACTACTCTTCCAGAGGTCCCGAATTCAAGTCCTGGCACCCATATGACGGCTATTACTGTAGTCCCATGGGATCCAATGCCCTCTTTTGATGTGCAGACATACATGCAGACAGGACTCATAAATAAACAAATCTTAAAATATGTGGAGCTAGATAGGGTCAATGTGGCTGCTGTAAAGGGCTGGTGGGTAACTAGTTAACAAGAGATTTCTCTCTTCTTTCATTATGATACAGCATACAACTGTACCTTTCTGAAGGGTTGCATAACTAAAAAAAAATAGCAGAAACTAATAAAGATATTTGAGAAATATTTAAGGGTGAGTTTCTACGTTTAAAAAGGGGGCAAGCATTATTGAATTTTACACTGCTTCCACCCATGCATCTGTCTACCTTTGTATGTCACAAAACATTGCCACAATTATAAATAGTAACATCTCAGGACAAGGTCTTACATTATTAAGAAGAAAACATAGATAACTAAGAATTCAGTGGATGCTTGATTAAATGGTACTGTTGAGGCCGAAACTCGGTGCCAAGGCAGTAGCTGTGGGCGGTATAATGATCAGTCTCATGAACTATGACAGATTGACCGCTCACTTCCTTCACCTGTAAAGCAAAGGCAATACCTCTCTTGGAAGGTTGCTGCAAGGTTTGAATAAATATTTGCAAAGCTTCTGGCACAGTGCTTAAAACATAAAAGGATCTTATTAAACAGTTTCGGTGTTGCTGTCAGAGCTTTGTGTGTGTGTGTGTGTGTGTGTGTGTGTGTGCAGGGTCTCACTATGCAGCTTTGGCTGGCCTGGAACACACTATGCAGACCAAATGGATCTCAAATTCAAGAGATCCTTCTGCCTCCCTAGCTCTGGGATTAAAGGCGTGCTCCACTTCCCTTCACCCGCCTCTCCCTTTAGCCTCCGTGCACGAATGACACACTGGTGTGTCACGTCCTTCACGCATTTTTAGCCCGCCGTGCTCACACAGTCGGCCGGGCGGCCTCTTTAAGTTCGGGTACGGCCTGGGCTGGGCACGGTAACCAGGCATTGCTCCAGAGTTAGTTCCGCCCTCCGCAGGTACGGACCCGAGGAGCCCGCGGGAGCCCAGCCGAGCCGGCACCGCCCCATCCGCCCACCGGGCCGGCGCCCACCCCACGCACCCGCCCCGCACCACGCAACATCGCCCTAGAGCCTCTGCGACTGGCGCCGCGCGGAATGAGCCGCCTGCCATTGGCCAAACGCTCCATAGCGCCATCTCGGCCTACCGCGCGGTGCGCGCTCTCATTGGCCCGGAGCGGCGTGGGAGGCGGGGTCTGCCCGCGGGGCGGTGCCGGGCCCGGAGCCCCGCCCCCTGGTCCCTCCGCTGGGCCGAGCCCGCCCGGTGGTTGAAGCGCGTGGGACCGAGCTGCGAGCCGGGCGCGCGGTGGTTACTCTGGTTACTGTCCGCGAGGGATGCTGGCGACCGGGCGGTCCGGCGTCGTCCTCGCCGAGCTCTGACGAACGCTCTCCGGAGACAGCCATCCACCCTCGAGGAAGGCAAGTGGCGGTCGGGCAGGTTCCGGGCCGTGACTTCGGGGGCTGGCCGAGCAGAGGTCTCCGGGGAGAGCTGCGCCGCCCCGCTCCAGCCCGGCTTCGGGACTCCGGGGCCCGGTCTTCTGTTGGTTGGAGAAGGCTGCCGGGCTGTGTCGCTTAGGGGCGGCTTTCCCAGCACCCGGATCCTTCTTCGCCAACTCCTTCCCACCGAGCCCCTGCGGCTGCCGACAAAAGACCACTTACAGCCCGAGGAGCGGACATCCAAGTGTACGCACAGCCACACTCGTACCCCTTCCTCAGCCCAATAGCGAGATTGAAAGAGAGAGAGACCCGTCTGTCAGCTGGCTGAATGATCTAATCAGGAGCTGTCAGGCAGGCTTTAAATGCTGCTTTCTAAGTCTCGGACAACTTAAGATACGTTTGTACTCTCAATGGTTTCACGAATTGATCTCGTCTGACTCGTGATCCTGAAACTATTGACAGGAAGCAGTTGGGCCAGTGTCCCGGGCCCCCCTTTGACAACAACATTTTGGAGAGAACGTCTTAATCACCAAAACCCTCCCGAGGGAAAAAAAAAAAGCCCCCCCCAAAAAAAAAAAACAAAAAACAAAACCCACAAAAAACAAAAATCCTCAGCCTTGGCCACCAAAGAAGCCTTTTGAACCATGTGGACTTTTCTTGGCATTGCCACGTTCACCTATTTTTATAAGAAATGCGGGGATGTCACCCTGGCCAACAAGGAGCTCCTGCTGTGCGTGGTGGTGTTCCTGTCTCTCGGCCTGGTGCTTTCCTACCGCTGTCGCCATCGAAACGCGGGCCTCCTCGGTCGCCAGCAAAGCGGCTCCCAGTTCGCCGCTTTCTCGGATATTCTCTCGGCTTTGCCTCTTATTGGCTTCTTCTGGGCCAAGTCACCCCCTGAGTCCGAAAAGAAAGAGGAGCTGGAGTCCAATAAGGTAGGCTGATTCCACAGTGGGCAAACGAGGGGCATCTTATTTTAAACTTAAGATCGGGGTCACTGAAGTTTACAGTTTCATTGAAAGGCAAGCAAGTGACGACGGATTAGAAGCGTCAATATTCGCATTTAGTTGATTTTTTTTTTTTTTAGAGTTCCAGATTGTGCCACGATCCTTGATTTTTAGGAAAGATCAAGAGGGTTTGTTTCATTTAGTGTTGGCTGATCCTTAGATAAGGGGTTAGATATTGATTTGATAGGAAACGTTAGCATTTCATTTGGAGGGCAGAATCAGTGTGGCTTTTCTTTAAATCCTTGGATAAGGAAGACATTTGTACCTAAGAAGAAATTATTGTGTGGCAGGTAAGGCCACTTAGAAAAGTGACAGCTGACTGGGGAAAGGGACAAGACAGTTTGAAAGGCAATAAAAATGCTCAGCACTTTAAAGGCTTGGGCAAAGAACCTTCCTCTTGCTAGTCTTTGAAGTAATGAATAAAACCAGTGCGGTCATGTCCTAAGTCAAGAATAACTGAACGATGGTCCTGTGTCCAAGACTGGGTCTTTAAATACTTGTAATGTTATTACTGTCAGGGAAAGATGGAGGCTGATGGGGGCCAGATAAGAGGGGGAACAGTAGAAACCAGATCAAGTGGATATTTGAACTTTCCCCCCAAGAACACTGGAGATACTTTAAGAGTGAGAATAACAATGCTTGATTTTTAAATAACAACAACAACATGGATATTGCTATGAGACTGTAGCAGGGTACCCAACTTGGCATAGAAGATAGGGCCAGATAGAATGAGTTACCCACAGGCTTCTGAGTCTGCTCAGTTTTGTCATGTCCACAGTACAGATTAGCAAAGTTGATAGAAGAAAGGGACTTGGCTCTGAGTTTTAGCTCTGCCACTTCTGGCAGTGACACTTTGAGAATGGGTTGATTTCTGTAAGAATCAGTTTCCTGTTCTGTTAGATGAGTGTGTCACCACCATGACTTGTAGACAGAGAGTTAAGTGACTTCGTATTTGCAGAGTGCCTGGTGCATCACCATCTAATAGGTAACTAGCTGTTCCCACTAGTCTAGAGTTGGTATGTCTGTTAGGAGCCTTTTGGGTAGCACTCCCTATTCGGTGGCATGGCAATTGGGGGTTGGAGGTGAGGTCTTATTTCTCAAGGTGAAAACACTGATATTTGTAGTGTAGAGAACTCCGCTTGGGGTTGAGTTCTAGTGCAGGTGGCTGGAGTACTATGGCTGTCACTGTACTGTGTAGAGAATTTGTGGGGTAGGAAAACTGGGTTGTCAG